CAGGGGTCAAACCTGGGTCAACCACATGCAAGGCAAGCACCTTAATACTCATTTTAAAATTTTAAATAGAATAATGCTCTATCTATAAGGAAAGGAATTGGAGAAATATATGCGGGTGATAGTGTAATGTTTGGAAAATGGAGATTATGAGGATATATCTGTATCAGCATTTCTTTTTTTTTTCCCCTTTATTTTATTTTATTTTTTTTTACAGTTGTAGATTTACAATTTTTTGTGCTTTGGTTTCAATTATACAATGATCAGATACCCATCCCTCCACCAGTGCCCATTTTCCACCACCATGGATAATATCCCTCCCACCCCCATCCCCCCATCCCCCCTGTCTCTGTGGCAGGGCAATCCCCTGTGTTCTCTCTCTCCTTTTGGGTGTTGTGGTCTGCAAAAGAGGCATTGAGTGGCAAACATGTTCAGTCCATAGTCTACTTTCGACATGCATCTCCCCTCCTGGGAGGATCCTCCAAACATCCTTTATTTGGTGCTCCCTTCTCTATCTGAACTGCCCTTTCCTCTAGGATACCCGGCTGGCCTCTAAGTTATGGACCCCTATGATACCCTAGGATATTCCAAGGGAGCCACAAGTGAAAGTCATATAAATGCAGGGCTACAGTATGAGACTAGAGGACAAACTGGTAGCACGGGGGTGGTGGGGGTGCCCATAGGAAGGAAATAAGGTCAGAGTGGGCCATGGTTGGGAAAAAGTTGAGAAATATGATCTATCTAAATAATATATCTATGCAATATTTAAATTTTTGAACAAGTGTTACACTATAATCTGTAGCACTGTAGCACTGTCCTCCCATCGTTCATCGATTTGCTCGAGCAGGCCCAGTAACTTCTCTATCGTGAGACTTGCTGTTACTGTGTTTGGCATATTGAATGAGTCATGGGTAGCTTGCCGGGCTTTGCTGTGCGGGCAAGATACTCTCGGTAGCTTGCCGGGCTCTCCAAGAGGGGCGGAGGATCTGTAATCATCTAGAATAATAAAGTTTGGGAGGCTGGAGAGATAGCATAGCAGGTGCTTGCCTTGCATGCAGCCAACTTGGGTTTGATCCCAGGCCCCACCAGGAATGGCATCTGAGCACAGAGCCAGAAGTAATTTCTGAAACCATCAGGTGTGACCCAAAAACCAAGTGAATAAATAAAATAATAAAAGTTTCATTGGAGGAGAGATTTGGGCCACCCCTGGTAGTGCTTAGGGGCTATCCTGGCCTTGTGTTTAGGGATCACATTCCTTCTGGTGCTTAGGGGACCATAGATGGTACCAGGGATTGAACCAGGGTTATCTGCATGCCAGCCAATTGACTTAAAATCCCACTCCCCGCCCCACCCCATACTCCCTCTCTGGTCCAAGTATGATTATTTTTTAAAAAGACAGGGGCTAAAGAGATAGTATAAGCAGGTAGGGCACTTACCTTACACACTGTCAACCCAAGTTTGATTCCCAGAACCCCATTTAATCCCCTGAGCCCTGCCAGGAGTGACCCCTAAGCACAGAGTCAGGAGTAAATCCTGAGCTCACTGAATGTGACCCCCATCCAACAACAAAAAGGAGAGAGATGGACATGGCCTCTGCAGTCAGACTGCTTTTGAAGCAGGGATCTGATATCATCTGGGTGACCTTGGGAAAGTGACTTATTGACTCTGAACCACCGTTTCTCATTCATAAAATGGAGAAAATAATATCAGGCTCCTCGGGATATTGCACCTACCTCATCGTGCTCTGATCATGCTCCTCGCACCTTGCTGTTCCTATAGTGTGCTGTAGAAATGGTCCAGAGTGCTGTTTCAAGGCTCCTCCTGGCTCTGTGATCACAGATGACCCTTAGGTGGTGCTTGAGGGACCATTTGTGATGCCAGGATTGAATTCCAGTTGGCCGCGTACAAGGCAAGTGTCTTAACCCCTTTACTATCTATACAGCCTCAGCCTCAGCCTCACCATAACTTCTTTTTTTTTTCTTTTTGGGTCATACCCGGCGATTCACAGGGGTTACTCCTGGCTCTGCACTCAGGAATTACTCCTGGTGGTGCTCAGGGAACCATATGGAATGCTGGGAATCGAACCCAGGTTGGCCGCATGTAAGGCAAACGCCCTACCCGCTGTGCTATCGCTCCAGCCCCTCACCATAACTTCTTTATTCACTTATCTGTCATTGGATATTTGGGTTCTTTCCATGTCTTGGCTATTGTACCAGCTGCTGAACCTAATTTCTTGGAATTAGTGTTCCCCCATGTGTTTTGGGGTAGAATACTAAGAAGTGGAATCTCTGGGCCATATGGGAACTTCATTCTTACTTTTTTGAGGAATATCCATATTGTTTTAGTTAAGGCTGAACCGGACAACATTCCCAGCAACAATGAATGAAGGTCCATTTTTACCTAAATACTGGTTGTTTTAGTCCTTTTGATATATGCCTTCTCACTGGTGTCAGGTTGTACTTCATTGTCCTTTTGATTTACATTTCCTGATAATGACAGTGAAGACTTTCATATGTTATTGTCCATGCATATATCCTCATTGTGGAAATGTCTGTGCATCTCTTTCCATTTTTGATGGATTATTGGTTTATTTGTCGCTGAGTTTTGTGCATGCTTTATATATCCTGGATTATATATCCTGCCCTTTATCTAATTTATGGTGAGCAAATATTTTCCTCCTTTTAGTAGGATGTTTTTTATTTTTATTTTTTCAGCCTGAATTTCTTTTGCCATGTAAAAACCTTTTACATGGCAAACGTAGAACTTCCTGGTAGCTAACAAATCTATTTATAGATTGTCTCTTCATTTAAAGCTAAATCTCTATTACTTAACAAAGTACTCAGAATATAATAGATGGATATAGGCATGGGTGAATGCCAATCTACAAAAGGTTCTTAACATCTGATACACATTGTTTCGTTTGTTTGCTTTCAGATTTTTGGCCACATACCCAGTTCTGTACTCAGGTCAGTGCAGGGGATCACGCTACCCTGGATAGGGAATCAGGAACAGAACCCCAACTTCCTTCATGCAAAGCATGCTCTCAGTTGACTGAACTATCTCTCTAGCTCATCTGATGCATAATGTACATAATGTATAAAGTAACACCTTATAACAAGTAGTTCACCTGGCAAATGAGCAACCCTCTAGGAACACAGATTAGGAGTTGGAAATCCTGAGTTTGAATCCCATATCTTCTATTTTATACAATAGAAGTGAGGGCCTAGAGAGATAGTATAGTGGGCGGAGCACTTGCCTTCCATATAGTCAACCCGGGTTTGATTTCCTCTACAACCAGGAGTGATCCTTGAGCACAGAGCCAGGAGTAAACCCTGAGCACTGCTAGATGTGGACCCCCCAAACTAGAACCAACAAAACCAAACCAAAAACCTAATTCTTCCATTTAATACAAGTGGGGGCCAGAGAGACAGTATAGGGGTTGTTTGCTTTGCACAGGGAGGACCCCAGTTCCACCTTTAGCACTGCATAGGAGTAATCCTTGAGCAGTTGGAAGCAAGCCTTGGGCACAGCTGAGTGTGTTCCAATCACACCCACAAAACGAAAACAAATATGAGAGGCTGGAGAGATACTACAGTGGTAAGGTACTTGCTTGCATGCAGGTTTGATCCCTAGCACCTATGTGGTTCCCTGAGCTCAGAGCCAAAAGTAAGTCCTGAGTAGTCAGGTATGGCCCAAAAAACAAAGAAGGAAGGGAGGGAGAAAAAGAAAGAAGGAAGACAAAACACAAGAAGGCCAGGATGGTGGCTCAAATGGCAGTCAGTGCACATGCCTTGAACAAGTCAGACCCTGGGTTCGACCCCTAGCACAGCGCCGCACCACTGGGCATAGCACCAATGACAAATGATAAAAAAACCAACAACACTAAGGAACTTTTCTTCAACCTCTTCTACCTGTTTCCCCATCTTTAAGATGGGAATAATATTTAGAATCCACTTCAAGAGGCATATTAAAGTTTAAATAGGTTATGCTAAAAATGTTTTGCATATTAAACAAAGGCTTGGCTATGAAAACAAAAGCCTGTGACAGTTTCTATTTCCCCAGTTGGCAGGAAAAACTAAACTGGCAAAACAGAATTTTATTTATATATTTATTTTTGGCATTTTGGGCCCCACTTGGTGTTACTCAGGGGTTATTCCTGCCATTATGTTTAGGAATCATCTCAGCAATACTTGGGGACCATATGCAGTGCCTAGTGCTTGTAGATAGAACCAAGAGTCATTTGAACGCAAGGCAAGTACCTGACCTCCTGTACTATCTTTTTGGTCAAAGACCAGAATTTTAAATAAAGATCTGACTATTTTAAATAAGTTTAGCATATAGCCTGGTGTTATACAGATGCTACTGCTAATTTTCATTATTATTAATGAGTAATTATTATTATTAATGCAAGGGTTGGCTAGATGACAGTCTTTTTTTTTTTTTGATTTTTGGGTCACACCCAGCGATGCTCAGGGGTTACTCCTGGCTCATGCACTCAGGAATCACTCCTGGCGGTGCTCGGGGGACCATATGGGATGCTGGGAATCGAACCTTTGTTGGCCATGTTGTCTGCGTGCAAGGCAAACACCCTACCCGCTGTGCTATCGCTCTAGCCCCTCTTTTTTGTTTTTGTGACACACCCAGTGGTGCTTAGTCCTGGCTCTTGCATTCAGGGATCATTCCTGCTGGACTGGGGGATGATATAGGGTGCCAGGGATTGAATCTGGGTTGGCTGCATGCAAGGCAAACACCTTACCCACTGTACTACTATCACCCCAGCCAATGACAGCCTTATGACACGCCCCCCCCCGCCCCCTGCAAAAGTTTACCCCAGCGAAAGCTGGAGTCAGTAACAGGATGAGTTGAGGTCTCCTCTCTCACTCCCACCCCCAACACAGTCAATCATAAATCAAGCCAGAGCCACGGTTAAGCAACAGTTTCTCTTTAATTCCCCTTTGCAAATGGAAGCCCCTGAGCTGGTCCCCACCCCCGCCCCTCCCCCACACCCTGGGGACCCCGGATGCAAGGCCTCTGCCTCCACCTGGAGGGAAGAGGAGAGGAGCACACCTCCCCAGGATGGTGCATTTAAAAAATCCTCATCTTTTAAGAAATGAGGCTGGGGACACGCGAGTGGGGCTGGAAGACAAGGCCAGGCCAGGCCAGCTTGGCGGGGTTGTGAGGATCCTCGAGGCGGGTTTGCAAGCACATCCCTAAGCTCAGGGCCAGCATGGCTGAGGGAGAGGAGACAGACGAACAGACCGTCTGGTCCCTCGAGGTCCTGCCTGCCTGCTTGTGACTGACCCTCGCCACCACCACCAGCCACCACCACTGCAGGCCTCTCTCTGGGGGGAGAATTTTCCAGTTACTCTGGGACAGGGTTTGCTAAGCATCCCCTCTGGCCCCTGATTTGGGGCATTCCTGGGGTCCCCCTGAGACCAGACCTGGGAGAAGGAGGGACTCTAGGAACATGCAAAGGGGGGGACTAAAGACCCCGCCCCGCCACGCTGCTCTACAGGATGGTGGCTCCTGCTGCATCCGGGCTCCGCGGGTCCTTCACCCCAATGATGAAGTTGTTGGTTCTCCGGCTGCCGTGGACCCAGGATAAGACATCTACCTTCTCCACGTGATGACCCCTTGCTTCCAGGAACTCAATTTCTTCCTCTGTGAACTCACCTGAAAACCATCCGCCAACAGACACACATTCAGTGTGCTCAGAGCACTGGCTCAGGAGTCCTACTGTTGGCCTAAGTCCTGGTCCTAGGTGTTCCATTAGGAGCTGGATGATCTTGGGCGAATTGCTCTACCTCTCTGAGCTTCAGTTGCCTCAGGCATAAAATGAGTACAATCTTAAAACCGACACAGGAAGTAAAGGAGATAACCCAGAGAGCAGAGCTCACAGTAGTGCATATAATAAGTGATCAATAATGTGATCAATATGTTTGGTCATTCCTAAGAGACATAAGAGACATCATCCTGTTATTCGTCGATTGCCTTGAGCAGGCCCCAGTAACGTCTCTTTCATCCTAACCCTGAGACTATATTCAAGGCTCTTAAGGAGAATGAGACCCATCATTGTTACTGGTATTTGGCATATTTGGTACGCCACGGGGAGTTTGCCAGACTCTGCCCTGTGGGCAGGCTAAATTCGATAGCCTGCAAGTTTGTCCAAAGTAGGAATGAGATGATAAGATGTCATAAAAGATGTCCTGATAAGATGTTGCGCGGCCGCTAATGTGGCCGCGCGGTTCCGGGAGCTGGATTTTATAGTCTCTGAGTCTTGGCCGTTGATGGGATTACACAGCACCAGGGGGCCAGGTGGTGGGTGTGACCCCTGCCTACTGGAATTTGGAGGATCTGGGTGGAGGATTCTAATACTGAAAAAAAAAAAAAAAAGGTGCTGGAGCCTTTACCTTTACCTGCCCTGACCAAATTGTCACCATTACTTATCAGGGTTACGGGAGAACCTACCAACTGGTCTTTAATGCTTCCTACTAGACTGTTCACAGAGCTGCTAAGGGGTCTTTTATTTAAAAATTTGGGTCACACCCAGTGAAGCTCGGGGGCTGGTCCCGGCTCCATGCTCAGGAATCAATCCTGGCAGTGCTCAGGGGACCATGCAGTGTCAATATAAAATCTAGACTTTTACATGCAAATCTTGTTTATGTTCCAGCTCATTAACCTATCTCTTCAGCCCCCCCAATGGATTGTTTTATTTGTTTGCCATATTCAGTGATGCTCAGGGGTTATTCCTGGCTCTGCACTTAGGAATTAATTACTCCTGATGGTGCTCAGGGAACCATATGAGATGCCAGGAATTGAACCCAGGTCAGCTGTGTGCGAGGCAAGTGCTTTACACGCTGTACTATGTCTCTAGCCCTTTTTATTTATTTTTGTATGTTTTGGGGTCACACCTGGCAGTGCTTGGGGACTATAACTGGCTTAGCGTTCAGAAGTAGCTCCTGGCATCATTCAGGAAACCATGTAATATTGGAGCTGGAAGTGGGGTCTCCTGCATGCAAAACATGTTTTCAGCTTGTTGTGCTATCTCTCACAGTCTTTTTAATTTATTTATTTTTGGTTTTGGGTCATACCTGACTAGACTCAGAACTTACTCCTGACTCTGTGTTCAAGAATTATTTCTGATGGGGCTCAGGGGACGACATGGGTTCCCGGGGAAACAGCTACATGCAAGGCAAGTGCCTTAAGTGCCTTACACCCTCTGTACCATCTCTCTGAGTCCTCTAAATATTTTTGTTTTATTTTGTTTGGGGGCCACACTCAGTGGTGCTCAGGGCTTACTCCTGACTCTTCATTTATGCATCACTCCTGCTGAGCTAGGGGGACCATATGGGGCACCAAGAATCAAACCCAGGTCAGCTGCATGAAAGGCAAACACCCTACCTGCTGTACTATCTCTTTGCCCTCCCTCAGTTTTTAAAAACCATTAGTCAGACCATTTTACCTTTCCTTCTCAAAACCCTCCAACAGTTTTGATGGTTTTTAGAATCAAATTCAAAGTTTCCACCAAGGCCACTAAGATCTAACATCATCTAGAACCTTGCTACTTCTCTCAATTACTCTCCTCCCTTCCTTGCATTCCCTTGCTTAACTGTGTTCTCATCTCCTAACTATAGGGCAGACCTCTGAGCATTGGCACCTGTTCTTTCTGTCTTGTAACATTCTCCTCTTAGCCACAAACTTCATTCTAATCTTCAAGAAGAACTTCCCAAATAACTACCTAAAACAGCAGAAACTATTTTACGTCCTTGTTATCTTTACCTTCTTTCCTTCCAAGAACTTACTGATACCAGTAAAGTTTACTTACAGTGTGTCTCACCCCTCTATATTGTTATTAGATTTTTGTTTGTTTTTATTTCTGAGTCACAATTAAAACAACCCAGCTGTGTTCAGGGGTTACTCCTAGCTCTCCACTCAGGAATTACTCCTGGCAGTGTACCGGGGACCATATGGGATACTGGGGATCAAACCCTGGTAGGCCCCATGCAAGGCAAATGCCCTACCTGCTGTACTCTCACTCTGGTCCTAGATCATTAGATTGTTTTTTATTTTATTTTGGTCTTTTGGAGATGAGGGACTACTGGTAGTGCTTGGGGACCATGTGATAGTAGTGCTGGGGACTGAACCCAAGAGTGCTGTAACGTTTGGGATTTTAAAGTCGGGGTTATCTCCAGTGCCTAGAATAGGATGACATTGTAAATGTGAAGAAGTATTGAAAGGAAACATGACTAAATCCCCCACTCTCTTATATGTTCAGACTTCTCTTTATCTCTTGCCTGTGCATTATCCCAGCTCTTTCTTGTATCTCCCCAAGTTAAGCTCCCTTCATCCACCTCCCTTACATAAAACAAATCAGGTCAATCCCTCTCTACTTAGCGGGGTAAAGTCCATGCTACTTCACATGGTTCTCCCCAAGCTCAGTAATCCCAGTTTTCCCACTATAAGGTCTTTGCCTTCTTTCGTAAATGGGATAGTCTAAGGTGGTTCTCAGGATGAAGACACCACAATGAAGGACATTCAATCACAGAGCTGGAAAATGTATTTCCTTTGTGGTTTATGGTCACTCTTTTCTATAATAGCAAGTTTAAGTCTGGTCTCTATCTTCTCAAATTCTTTCTTTAACAAAGAGAGCGGGTTTTAGAGCATTCTAGGGCAACATTATCTAACTAAAGCCTCAAAATATTTTATTTAAAATTTTATTTATTTTTTATTATTTAGGGGAGTTTGGACCTATACCCGGTGGTGCTCAGGGTTTACCCCTGGCCCTGTGGGTCACTCCCGGTAGGATTGGGGTGATCATATGATGTGCCAGAGATGAAACCTGGGTACGCCATGTGCTTGGCAGATGCCCTACCCACTGTACTATCTCTCTGGTCTCTAAAACATTTTCATTTTACTTAAAACATTTACTTATTTGGGAGGTTTTGGAGCACACCCAGAAGTGCTCCATGACTGTTTTAGGAGCTACTCCTAATGGTGCTCAGGGAATCATAGGTGCTTCCAGGGACCAAACAGGTCCGCTGCATGCAAGGCAAGGACTTAGCTTCTGTACTCTCTGTCAGGCCCCGACATTTTGTTTTTTATAACTATGTATTATATATGGCAAATGCAGCTGGTTTTCCATTTGTGGGTATAATATTTATGTTTATAACACTTATGTCAAAAAGGAAATCCGTTTCTAGATACATTACATAAAGAACCGTTGAGGAGGCCTATAGTCGGGGCAAAAGTTATTGAGGTCTGGGCAAATGGTTCAAAGGGCTGGATGCTCTGTATGCTGTCACCCCAGATTCAACCCCAGCATCCCATGGTCACCCAAGCATCGAGAAAGGGGTAGCCCGCACCACAACAGGTGAGGACCCAAACCAAATGTTATGAAGGTGCTAGACAAATTCTCAAGACAATTATAGGAATTCAGCTGGCACCCTGGAGGCTCTCACCTCATTTTGGGGGGACGGTGTAGTTTGCAAGGCCACCACCTAGCAGTGCTCAGAGCTACTCCCCGTGGTGCTCAGGGGATCAAGATGTGCCAGGGATCCGACCTGGGCCTCCTGCATGCAAAGCCTACTTCTTGAAGCTATTCTCTCTGACTTTTGCTAGGCTGTTCCACGGTCCAGAATATACTTGACTTCATGGGCCTAATTCCTCCTCATACTTTATGATCCAACAGTTGCCACCACCCACCCACCCCCGCCCCACCTCCACCAGCTGGCAGAATTTTCTCTCTGCCAAGCTTCACTGCTTCCTCAGATGCTTAGTCTTAGTTTATGAGCCAACCCCAAGTGCGAGATGACACACATGTACCCCCTTCCCACACACCCAAGTAACCTAGCAACAAGTCTCCCTTTTGATAGACCAGAAGATGTGAGCAAACACCATTTCAAATCCCTGACCTTGTCATCTGGGAGCTGGGATCTAAGGTGTCACTAGCCCACCACAATGAGTGACCACCGAGTCACTAAGGTCTGGTGGCTTCTAGCGGGCTTCAGACTGGACACTATCAAAAGTCTCACAAGAAACGGCAGAGTATTTACGGTTAGCCAGGGCTGGGCTCCAAGCTCATTCTGCTACTCTGGTCTCTGACTAGTCTATAATCTCTGTTGCCTTTCTTTTTATATCTTCAAATGGCATAATAATTCTGAGTCGGCAAGGACCCTGTCTCCCTTGATTCTATATCCCCTTTGGACTCACGTAATATATTGTCTGCTATAATTTGAAAACCCACACTTACACACTTAATATAGTTAAGTACCTTAGAGTCCATTCTTAGAGCAAAGTCCCACCCAAATTGATTAACTCCATGATCTGGCCCCTCTATGCCCCTTTGATCTCATCTTAGGCTCACTTATCCTAATCTTTCTTCCCCCAGAACATAACAGGCCTATGTCTGTCCTGAATTTTCTGCATTTACTCCCTTGGCCTATCAAGCTCCAACCCAGTTCTGTACATGGCTGGCTCCTCATCACCCTTCCAATCTCACTTAATGTGGCCGGTAAGGAGCTTGCCCAGCTACGGTCAGTTGTCTGCCTTTCCTAACTGTCATGTCCTGCAGCACATCTGCTTTGCTCTCTCACTTTGTTCTGATTATTTCCTTTCCCACCTCCTCGTCAATGTGATCTCCACAGCCTAGAATGATGCCTGGCGTAGCAGGTGTTCATTGCCAACTGTTGAATAAGTGGTTTGCAGAATGAACAATGGTGTCTTATTTTACCAAAGGAGAAAAACCGAGGCTCAGAGTGGAGACCTGCGTCCCAAGACCACAGAGCCAGGAAATGGCAGGCTCCAAAGGCCAACAAGCTCACTTTGATGGGAGCTGTTTGAAAGAAACCAAACTTCCACTGGAAGGAGGCGGGCGAGCCCCAGGAGGAGTCCCGCTCTCCACCAGGCCCTGTGCCCACCCCTTGGAGCTTGGCTCTGCACTCACTGTCCACCTGCAGAAGGTTGGACTGCAGGTCCGGGTGCAGGCGGCCACGGGCCAGGCTGTCACTCAGGTTCCGGTTCAAGGTCAGGACGTTCAGCAGAACCTGCGGGCAGCCAAGGCACAGAAGTCAGAGTTGTCCCAGAGGGGTTCAAAATAACTCCACAACCCTCATCCCTGGCTCAGACTCCTTCGACTTTTTGCTTGTGTTTTGTTTGGGGGCCATACCTGGCAGTGCATGGGGGTCTGTGCTTGGGGGTCACTCCCAGCAGTTCTTAGGAGATCTGTGATACAGGGGATTGAAATCAGGTCACCTGCGTGCAAAGCCGGTTGCATGGTCTCTCTCTGACCTCAGCCCCCTTAGTCTTTATAACCCTTATAACCAGGAATGTCATCTGAATCTCTCAAAATCCTCAGATCACAGGCAAGCCTTGTGATACTGTCTCTTTTCAGAGTGGGCAAGTGAAGAAAAGAGAATAGGAAGAATAGGAGAATAGGAGAATCTTCCAGAGAATAGGAAGAGCCAGGGAAGAGGCGCAAGAAACACTTTCATCGAATCCTGGCCCAGACGGGATTAATAGCTAGGGCTGGTCTAGACAAGTATTTTAAGCTTAGTGGTTTAGAGCATGGGTAGGCTCAGGACCAAAATGCTTGCTCCTCCTTACTACACTGGCCTTAACTTTTGAAAATTAAAAAAAAACAAAACAACCTTTAATTCCCGCCCCTCCCCCCCCCCCCCCCCCCCCCCCCGTGGTGTCAGGGATTGAATCCAGAGCCTCACACTGGCAAGGCACATTCTCTACCTTTAAGCTATATCCTCAGTCCCACCTGGTTCCAGTTTACTTAATCTCCTTGGGCCTCAGTTTCCTCATCCATAAAAAGAAATATGGATTATTCTCAATGTTAGATATTTATTTAATGATTTTTATGGCTTTGGGGCCATACTCAGCAGTGTTAGATATTTCTTCTCAATGTTAGATATTTATTTAATGATTTTTATGGTTTTGGGGCCACACTCAGCAGTGCTCAGGCTTTACTCCTGGTTCTGCATTCAGGGACCACTCTCGGGAGACTCAGGGGACCATATGGGATGTCAGGGATTGAACCTAGGTTGGCTATGTGCAAGACAAGTGCCAAACCTGCTGTACTATCGCTCCAGCCCGGCGTCAGGACATTTAAAAGGGCCATGCAGCACTTAGTCAAAGTCCCCTATATGTTAGCTGACAGAACTCTATTTGACAGGAGTCCGAGGTTCCCACTTCACACAGCTGGACACTGGAAGAAGTTGGGCTGGGACCCAGAGGTGGGTGACAAGAATCAACTTCCCACCTGCCCTAGCAAGTGTCTGACCCTTAAACCTAGAGCTCAAGATATTTGTAGGACAGTTATAGGGCATTCTGGGGAGTAACAGGCCCTTCTTCCCACATCAGACCCCAAAGAGGGCTACTAATCTATTTCAGACCCTAAGCTGGAGGGTGGCAGAACCCAAGCAGCTCCCATGTCATCTCACTTCAGGGCCACTGGCCCCATAACTGCCCCTGCCACCTGGATTGCCAGACAGCATCAGAGCCACCCCTCCCCCTGCCACTTGTCCCCACCTCCCCCCATCCCCCCACTCCACCTCCATCACCAATAAACCACACAGCCTATGGTCCGCTTGCTCAGGACAAGCCAGACACAAAGCAGACTCTGCCATGTACAATGTTTGAACTGGGAGAAAAACAGATTGGAGACTTGAAGGGTGTTTCCAGCTGGGGTCACAACTTGACTGAGGGCCCCAAAAGGCCCATCCTTGGGGGAAACCTCACCTGGGTCAGGCCACTGAGGCCCCGCGCAGCTCCATTGGCCCCGAGGGCGAGGTAGGTCCCACAGAGCCCCTCTGCCGGCCGGACCACAGTGGGGAGCAGGAAGGATAGAGGCCTCTTCCCCGGCTGCACCGAGTTCTCCTGTTGTCCGAGGACCCAAACCGCCAGGAGGAGAAGAGATGGAACCAGAAGGGCAACCTCACTATTTTGTCACCTTCTCCCCAATGTCTTGCATCTCCCCCAGGTTCAGTTCTCAAGGCCTTTCCCAGACCACTCATGGAGAAATCATTTTAGCTCCTTCCCCCTTGGGACCCTTGGGACTGAGCATCTGCTCAGCATCACCTACTCACATACCACGTGTGCTGTAAAGTGCCCAGCGAAACTGAGTCCCAGAGGGGGGATCAGGCTTTACCCAGATCAGGCTGAAGATGGTCAGAAGGTTCTCGAGAACCACCAAGCTCCAAGCCTCAGACTCAGGCTAGGGGTGAAGCGGATCCTTTGTTTAGGACCCTCTTTTCTTGGAGGGGGTGGGGGATTTGGGGCCACACCCAACAGTGTTTGGCTCTAGGCTTGGGGGTTCTCTTGGCAGTGCAGGGTTCAAACTGGGATCAGTTTCATGTAAAGCAAGCACTTTACCCTGTGTACTACCTCTCTGTCAGCTCCCTCTGCTTTATAATAGAAGTTCCTAGAACAAGACTCAGGAATTACCCCAACCCCATTTCAGAGCCCCTGGGGGAGGAGGGAAACAGGGCCCTACCAGGCTGGGTGCTGAGTGGTTCGCAGTTCTGTTGGGCCAAGAGAAATCCAGCATCTGACTGTTGAGCAGGATTCCAGAGGGAGTGATAAGGCCGCTGCCAAAGGGCCGGTTCAGGGAGCTGGGGGTGGGGGTAGGGGGTTGAGGTGGGGGCCAGGTGAGCCCTGAGCCCTTCCTCCTTTCCCCCAGCCCCCCTCTCCTCCTGGTCCAGGTGGTCCCTTCTGCTAGGTTCTGCGTGTGAGCTGGCATACCTGACCATGGCCACAATGAAGTCATCAGGACCCATGATGAGCACCTGGGCAGCCGTGGGCGCCCCGTCCAGTTCATAGACGGGCAGAAGCGGGGTCGGGGCTGCCTGGGAGTCATTGATGTGGCCGCGGAGGTAGGCAGCCTCCACCTTGCTGAAAAGTCAAGGGGTAGGAGATGAACAGGGTGCAGGAACTCGTCACATTCCACCTACTATGCTTGTCATTTGTTTGTGTGACTGATTAGCCTCTGTCCTCCCCTTCTGGCTCACCACTGTCTAAGAAACCAGCATCTCACTCACTTCAGGATAGAGGTTGATTTAGATAAATTTATTTGGGTATTTATCCAGTTTCTCTTCGAGAGTACAGTATTGATCTACTTAGTGTTTAAAGTGAGTTGTTAGTTACTTGACTCACTTCTGTCTTCTTTCTATGGAAGTACGCAGGGCATAGTGAATGCTCAAAAATATTTTCTTGAGGGGCCAGGGATACGATTCATCTCCCGCTTTGAATATGTAAAGCCCTGCAATGGATCCCTGACACTAAAATTGGATCGCCTTACCCTGGAACTAATGCTTTGTCTAAAAGCCCAAGGTCTTATCCAGGGTATGTTATAATCAAATCCACACCACCTCCAGTATTTGCTGCTTTGGAACTCTTAGGCTTTCTTTTCCTACTCAAGAAGGGAAGAAGATGGACTCACAGAGGTGCCCTGCCAGGGTTGACAAAAAAACAAAACAAAACAAAAACCTTACAGAATCTGGGAATAGAGAAATAGAATAGGTGATAGAAGGGCTGAGAGTGAACTGAAATTGGCCTGGGATCTCAGGCTAGATGGTGTCACTAGCTGCTTTTCACCTGATCCTGCCCCTTCATCACAATTCCCACAGCCCCCATCACAATTCTCCTACCCAGGACCCACCTGAGCATGTCATCCATACTCTCGGTGATGGTAGAGTCATAGCTCGGATCTCCCAGTCTGCTGGCCAGAGCTAACGCTATCTTTAGGGTCTGAAAACAGAGTAGAGATGTGGACGAGGTTACCCTAACCCTCCCAAGCCCCACATCCAGGATGCTCAGTTGTGAGGCAACTTGGAGGTGATTTAGTCCTGTTCCCCCAGGCAGCCCTCCCTCCCGTCCCCCGTTCGCCCGCTCCCAGAAGGCTCAGGTTTCCTCACCTCTGCCACCCAGTGTAGGGCCTGCTCCCGGGCCACCAGGTTAGTGAGGTTGAAACCCTCGAGGATGTTGAGAGCACTGATGAGGGCAGGGCCCGTGTGAGGAGGTGGAGAGCTGAGAACCAGGTGGCCTGAAAGGACAGGAAATGAGCAGGTGGCAGGGGAAAGGTCAAGGGCTCTCCAGATCCCACCATCACCCCTCTGTGACAGTGACTCTGGTGGTTTTTTTTTCCATGGGGGAGGGGAACCTCACTTAGTGGTATACAGGGCTTATTCCTGGTTCTACACTCAGAGATCAGGGATCATTTCTGGAAGGTTCGGGGGACCATATGAAATGATGGGGATTGAATCTGCTTGGCCATGAACAAGGCAAGCACTCTATCTGCTACACTATTACTCTGGCCCCCTGTGACAGTTACTCTGAACTATTCATCACTAGGAAAACTCCATGGAGAGGCAAAAGAACCCACCCATGGTCATGTGGCAGGTTGAAATCACGGCTGAGATTCCGACTCAGAACACAGGTTTTTAATTTTCTCTTTTACAAAGGAAACTAATTCTCCAGAAGACTGGGATTTCCTAGAGTCATTTATAGGCCTTTGGCAGAGCAGGGACAAGCATTCCTTGCTCCAGATTCCTAGTGGACCAAGGATCTCTTTTCAGTTCCTCCCACAGGACAGAACGCTAGTTAGGGGCCTGATGGGATCAGTAACTTCCTCTTTCTACTGGAGGCCCTGGTATTAGATGTCTGAACACCTGAGGAACAATACCTAACACGTAATATTAACTAATCCTCATAATGGGTCTGGCTCCCACTCCCACTGTATACATAAGAAAACAGTCCCAGGGATGCAACAAGATTACAAGAAGACAAGGAGAATGTCAAGCACTCAAGGTACTGACACTGACAGCAGAATACAGGTCTGAGAGAAGAAATGGAAAACCAAAACATATTCAGTGCCTACTCTGATCAAGACAACTTCCAATATCACCTCATCAAATCCTCATAGGCAGTCTGGAGACAGGTGTGTGTGTGTGTGTGTGTGTGTGTGGTGTGGTGTGGTGTGTGTGTGTGTGTGTGTGTGTGTGTGTATTTGCGTCATATCCACTGATGTTCAGGAGCTATTCCTGGCTCTGTGCTCAGGAGTGACCCTCTGGCGGTAGTTGAGGGACCATATGTGGTGCTGGGATTTGAACCTGGATGGGCAGGATGCAAGCCAAATTCTTTAACTCCCATACTATTATCTCTGGATTAGAGGTAAACCATAAACATTATTTTCCTCTCCATTTTAAGGAGGAATCAGAGTTAAAGTGACTTGCTCAAGAAAAATGGCACAGTTAGTATTTAAACCTAGGTCCTAGGGCTTGAGTAATAGTCCAGTGGGTATGGCATTTGCCTTACATGTGACTGACCTGGATTCGATCCCATATTCTGAGCACCCATCCCTGAGCACCGTCAAGAGTAATTCCTGAATGCAAAACCAGGAGTAACCCCTGAGCCTGAGCATTGCCTGATATGGCCAAAAAAACAAAAACAAAAACAAAAAACCTTGGTCCCTTTTAGCTGTGGTCTCTCCTCTATTTCATGTTCACATGTGGCAGGGAATCAGGTTGGAAATTAAGGCCAAGAAACCTGGACACAGAGACAAATTCTTTTGGGACTTGACATAATTTGTTCTCCTGAGGCTAGAGAACCTGAGAATCCTCTCAGTTGTTCAGGGACTCTTCACTTTGGATTCAGCATGAGCCCAAAACTTCTTTTACGTTGTCAATTTGGACTTCTAGTTTCCTCACTGGTTTTTAGTTTGGTGGGTTTAAATTCTATCTCCTTCCCGCACATCAAGTTTCCATTTGGCATAATGAAGGGAGCAGGTCAATGGTTGTCATTTTTGGGGGAGGTGTTGGAGTTGTGGCCTGGCAGTGCTCAGGAGCTGTTCCTGGAAGTACTCGGGAATCCTATGCAGCAGCAGGGGTTGGCTGCATGCCAGGTAAGTGCCTCACCTATGTATCATCTCTATGATTGTCTTGACAGGTTTGTTCTAACCTGAAGCTTAGACAGACTGTTACAGAGTCATCTTCAGAAGCACTGAGCAGTGAGAACAGGGCACTGGGGGGCAGGTGACACACCATAGAGCTCAAATCAAGAAAGTCCCTCTTTAGATCCTCAATACTGGGGTCATGGAACCCAGGACTACTTCAAAATGTAGGCTGGCTCTAGTCTGCTTCAGGAGCGGGCTGCTCAGGCAGATCAACGCCTCACTGTCTGCCCTGTGATATGGGGAAGAGTCTCAAGGTCTAAAGGATATAGCCATGACTAGGAGACTTGTCTTGAGTGGGGACCTTGGGAGCTGGGGGAGAGGTCACCTCTGTATATGCCACCCACAGGCTTCTCCACAAGGGCGCTATAGTTGCTGAAATCCTCTTCAGTTATGACACCCCCTGCGTGCTGGGCCTGCATAGGAGAAAAAGAGGAGTAATACTGTAAACATGTAGTCTTGAGTATACGCTTGCACCATAGACAGATGCACTATTCATAATCTTCATGCCTCCTAAAATGCCCATCATGGACCTTTGGGGTTTCATTTTGTCTTGGGTACCCCAGAAAAAGGCAAAGAGGAGAAGCAGTAGTACCGGGCATCTTCTGTGGGCCAGCTACGGTACTTTAATAACTGAATATTCAAGGCTCTTTGTGATCTGGCCCCTGTCTGACTTTTATCTCAGGTTTGGCTATTTTCAATGACCCACAGTTCCTGAGTTCAGGACTCCGTGCCTTGCATGCACTAGTGGAATGGCCTTGCATGGACATGGACTGGCTTGTGGAAGATGATCTGCTTGGCTAGGAGAGAGCAAAATTGACTTCTGCATTCTACTAAAACCAATCAAAGGCATCAAAAAACCATGAACTCTGGTAGGGTTAGCTCAGCAGGAATGACCCTACCAGACCACCTTGAACAAACCAATGGGTACATACTATCCTATATAGCATGTTAATTTTCCATTTTAAATTAGTTTAAACACTAGGGGTTACTCCCAGCTCTGCACTCAGGAATTACTCCTGGCGGAGCTCAGGGGACATTATGGGATGCTGGGAATCAAACCCAGGTCAGCCGCGTGGAAGGCAAACACCTTACCCACTATGCTACCCTTCCAGCCATAGCAGTAGCACAGTGGGTAGGGTGTTTGTCTTGCACGCAGCCGACCCGGGTTCGATTCCTCCGTCCCTCTCGGAAAGCCCGACAAGCTGCTGAGTATCCCGCCCGCACGACAGAGCCTGGCAAGCTCCCCGTGGCATATTCGATATGCCAAAAACAGTAACAAGTCTCACAATGGAGACGTTACTGGTGCCTGCTCGAGCAAATCGATGAACAACGGGAGGACAGGACAGTGCTACAGTGCTAAACACTAGGAATGCTCTCATTTTTAGTTCTTTTTACTACTTGAAACCTCTGACTTCTAATCCACTCATAGCAAATGATGCACTTAACTTTTTTTTGGTGTGAATTCGTTTGTTGTTCACATTAATAAACTCAACTTTGAGGGTTTTTTTTCTCCTTTCAAAGCTCCACTAGTCCTGGTTGGAATATCCTTTGGGAGGATTTGGGGGGAGGGGCATACCTGGCAGTTTCTCAGGGGCCATTCTTGGATCTGTGCTCAGGAGTGACTCCTGGCAGCACTTGGGGGCCATATATGGTGCCAGGGGATTCAAATCAGTGGGCTGCATGCAATGTAAATACTTTCATCCACTGTAGTATCTCTCCGGCACAGAATCTCTCCTTTCTCCCAATCCCACTAGGGAAATACTGGTCTTAGATGTGGCTAATCACAGTGTTTCTTTTTGGTGCCAGAGGCTGGTCTGAGAATAGTCACTAGGCCACTGACTGGATGACGAGGCATAACCTTGAAAACTGTTGGAATTGTGGAGATGAGGACTGGTGTGCTGGGAGGCTGGCTGCCGGGAGCAGCTCTAACAGTGAATTCAGACAGAGGAAAGTGGTCATGAGACAAGTATGAGAGAAGCCAAACAAGGCCTAAGTAGGCAGGGAGCCTCTGGACCCAGAAGGATTCAGCACTCAAGCTGGGTCTCTGCTGGTCTTCCCAGTGAAGGCCATCTAGGTGACCTTCTCTCACACTACACCTTCAACGCCCAATGTTGGGTCTGGCCCAGAGCAGGTGCTCTGAGAAGGCAGAACAAGTGAGAAGCCACTTGATTTCTTGGAACTGTGTGGCAGAGGCAGACAACCATATAGTACAAGTCAGGGAACCACTGCAAGAAAGGAAAAGAGGGTAATAGTGAAGAAATGAAGGAAGGAGGGAAAGAAGAAAGAAGGAAGAAATGAAGGGCAAAGGAAGAAAGAAAGGAAGGAAGGGCACAGGAAGGAAAGTAGGAAGGAAAGAAGGAAGGGCAAAGAAAGGAAGGAAAGAAGGACAAAGGACAGAAGGAAGGGCGAAGAAAGGAAGGAAGAAAAGAAGGAAGGAAAGGAAAGGAGGGAGGGTGAGAGAGAAGGAAAGAAATAAAGGAAAGAAGGAGGGAAGGAAGATCAAAGGACAGAAGAAAGGGAGAAGGAAGGAAGGAAAGAAGGTAGGAAGGAAGGAAATCTTGAAGGACAAAGAAAGGGCGAAGGAAGGGAAAAGGAATAAAGGAAGGCAAAGGACAGAAGGAAGAAAAGAAAGGAAGGAAGGGAATCTTGAAGGACAAAGGACAAAAGGAAGGGCGAAGAAAGAAGGAAGGAAGGAAGGAAGGAAGGAAGGAAGGAAGGAAGGAAAAAAGGACAAAGGACAGAAGCAAGAAAGGTAAGAAGGAGGGGCGGAAGAAAGAAAAAAGGAAGGGCAATGGACAGAAGGAAGGCCAAAGGAAGAAAGGAAGTAAGGACAAAAGAAGTTATGAAGGAAGAAAGAGTTGGAGAAGGGGAGGAAGGAAAGGAGTGAGGGACAGAGGAAGGAAGAGAAGGAAGGGAGCACGGATAACCCTCCACACTCACCTCTGCCACCATTTCGAGCGTGAGGTTGCCTCCATTGTAGAAGGCCGCGGGCCCCAGGGTGCCCAGCACCTCCAGCACGGCCGCCAGGTCGGGCCGCTGCAGCACGGCCCCGGGGAGCGGCGGGCGGCCGGCGGGCAGGAACGTCTCCCGGAAGCGCTCGGACATGTTGGGCGGGGGCTGCTCGGCCAGGGCCCGAGCTGCGGACAGGGATGGACGTTGGGGCTGGACTGAGGGCTGAGCTGTGTGTCAGGAGGGAGTGGACAAAGGTGGAGGGAGAAGGGCCGGCCTGAGCCGTACAGGGTGGAAGGGGGGTCTGGCACCCAGCCAGTGCCGCGCTGGGGAGACTTCCTCCAGGTGGGGCAGGTGGGATGAAGGGGAAGTTTCTGGAGCACAATACAAGAGGAGGTGCCTCCTAATTTGGGCCCAGCACCTCAGAGGTTCCCCTCCCTCTTCCTCAGCCTCTTGCCCCCCGCCACCCCCCAACAAAGCCCCACTGACCTAGTTCATGGGTCACGTTGAAGCCGTCTTGGGCCACTGCTGCTGCGAAGGACAGGACTTGGGACCATGGCAGCCTGGAGGGGGGCCGGAGAGCAGGGGGTGGTGGAGGTCCTGGGGGGAGGAGGAGGGGTCCTGGGGGGAGGGGGGTTCCTGGGAAGGAGAGTCCTGGCAAGGGAAGGGGATATGAGGAGGGGGCGTTGGGACTGGGAGAATCCGGAAGGTAGGAGAAGGCCACCCAAAGAGAAGAGCAGGCGGGGTCCCCAGTCCCGGGGGGAAGTCTTTACCTGCCATAGAGCTGGTGTGCTTCATGTAGTCCCTTCACCATTCCAGGGACCCCCACCAAGAGCCCGGGCTGGGCGAGGCCGGCAGGCGAGGGAGAGAGGAGACCAGGTCACTGGAAGGGGGGGGGCTGGGCTGAACTCCGCAGAGCCCCAAGCCGGGGATGGGGGGGCTGGCACAGGGGAGACACACAGGCCAAGGATCCCAGAGGAGGGGCAGGCTCTCCCAAGCAGGCATCTGTCCCTCCGTCTCCCCAACTTCTGCTCAGCAAACGCAGAAGTGCTTTCTGCCAGAAGCTGAGAGGCTTCTAAGTGAATCCACTCATTGGAAAAGCTCGGGAAAATCTCTTCACATTGAATTATGCCTGCGTTTGTCTTTAAAAGAGGGGATGGGGGTCTTCCCTTCACCTTTTCCTGATCCTGCCCCCATTTCTAGGGCAGATGCGGGGGAGGCCGTGCAAATGCCAAAAATCCCTCCCATATGCAAACATGTGTTCCCATCCTCTGAGGCATCTCCTGGGCCCCTCCATGTCCTGCTTAATTCTTATGCGCCCCATCTGCGAGGTCACCAAAGAAATACAGTGTCACTGCATTGTCTGTTAGTGATTATTTCATTATTCCATGGAGGGTGGGGAATAATGGCTCCTGGCTCAACTCCTTTTCTCATCCCCACAGTAGATAAACAGCAACAGAAATACCAATGAGTGGGTTATCAGAAGGGCAATGAAATGAGATTGTTCCCACCCCTGCAACTGTCTCTTCTAACCAGGGTCCCCACCTTGGTCTCCCAGGATCTTTGCAAGGCCTCCTCCCTGAGGGCCCCTGGTGCAGACTCCCGGAAATTGATCAGATGGCTCTCGTTGCGTCGGATGTCATGTACCAGCATCACACCTCCCCTGGGAAAAACACAGAGTGGGGAACAGTGAGGTGGCCCCACTGCCCAAGGGCTGCTGGCTAAATTTGTGCTCAGGGGTCTGAGCACAAACTGAGACCCTTCCCCTGCAGGAACCAAGAGGCCCAGCCATGGGGTGGGTAGCGAAATGGAGGGACTGGGAGCCTAGAGTCTGTGGACCTCTTCCAGACTGTCACCCGAAACTTTAATCACTCTTTAGGGAAACCCCAGAGACCGGGAAAACAGGACATTCTGCCCCTGCCCGCCTCCCCCCCTTCCAACCCCCCATCACAACTGGACCCCTGCCAGCTTCCTGCATCTGCCTCCTGGGTATTCCCCACTCCCCTTCCCAAGACTGAATTATATAAGGTCAGACTATGCAAAGGTGAATGGATTTTGTAGGAGAGCCTGGAGGGGCTAGAGCCAAGACAGGAACTTCGTCAGCTTGTCCTTTATGGTGACATGCTTCCTCCTGGCATGGGTAACATTTGAGATGGTTGGCCTACAAACAGGACGGGACCAACAATGGTAGTTGGGACTCTGACCACAAGCACACAAGCGCCATGGTGGGGCTCAGCTTCCGGTCAGCTCCGGATAACTGGTCATGTGGAAACTTGGGGCCAGGGTTCCCAGGTCTCCTAGTTGTTCAAGAAATCTGGACTTTAATGACAATTTTCAACTTTGAAACAATAGTAAACTTAAAACAAATTTAAGTCTATGAAAGAAAAATGTCCCTGTATAGGCAAAGTGCTGGGTGGGACCCACGAGTGGGCAACTTGAAACAAGAGTTTTAAAAGTTCTAGGCCGGCCTGTACTTCAGGGGGCTAAGACTCACCAGATTTGATTTCTTTTTCCAAGGTAGTTTTAAATCCCCAAAGTCAAAGCTGCCTTAATTAGCACCTGAGCTTATAGTTTACAAAATCCTCTCCCCATTTATTTTCTATCAGGAATCAAACTCGTGGCCTTGGCAAACACATGCCTTTTTTGGGTTGAAAAGACAAAAGCCGAACCAAATCAAACCTGAAAACTCCTCTACCAATTCCAGAACAGGAGACACGAATGAAATTGGCGGCAAAACACACACACACACACACACACACACACACACACACACACACACACACAAAAAGGTGGGGGCGAGGTGTGTAGGCCCAGTGGCTCTCTACTTAATATTTGGAGCAAGCCCAGAAAAAGCACACAGACCAGGCCACAGAAGGCTGCCTTGGGGACCCCAAGTTCCCCAGCTGGTTGCTCCTTACCCGCCCAGGCCAGAACTGTGTGGGGCCACGATCCCCAGGCACAGAGCTGCAGCCACAGCCGCGTCCACGGAAGATCCCTGTTTCCTGAGCACCTCAATGCCCAGCGCCGAGCACTGGGCGGCGTCTGTCACTACCGCGCCCTGGTGGAAGATCTGCGGGGTGGGAGAAAATGGATGGATAAGTCGGAGAAGTGGGAACACGCTGGGAACCCCCATGCTCCCTCTGTGTCCCTCATGCCCCCCAGTCCCTCCCCTCGGGACCTTCCTCTCCTTCCACCCCACCCCACCCCACCCCCGCCACTTGGCACCCGGCTCCTCCAGGGCTTCACCCCACGCCCTCCCCCACGGCTCCCCGCTCCTGCTCCTCACCTGGGGGTCCCCAAAGTAGATCTGCATGACGAGCGCCACCGTGACGCCCGTGGCGAAGGTGAGACAGGCCGTGACGATGACCGTGAGCCCGTCCTGCCGGCAGGAGCACTCGGACGCGGCGGCCGAGAAGGGGTCCTTGCGCGTCTCCCGCAGCGGTGACCCGTCCTGACTGCCCATCTCCGACGACGACGAGGGCAGCCGCTGCAGCCGCGCAGACTTCAGGAACGAGTCGGGGTCTGGGGTGGGGGCGTGGGGATGGATCTGAGAGCCTCTCCGGGCCCTGCCCGCCCTCTCCCAGCCCCGGCGGAACAAAGCCCACCGACGGCAACAGCGGGGCTCACCTTCCAGCGTCCCCCAGCCAGGCGCACACCTTCCTCCCCCCCCACCCCCACATACCTCCGGACGGCTTCGGGGGCAGCCCTGGGTGGGAAGAGACAGGGACCCCCAGCAAGGCAACAGGGCGACTGGATTCCAACCCCTGGGTCAAATTTCCTGGGACCCAGGACCCAGGGCTGGGAACACTTCCTGGAGAGGCGGGGGTTGGACCCTCCCTGGAAACCAGATCCTGTCCCAGCTGGGACCTGGTCAGGCAGGCAGCTCCCTACCCTGAGCACACACAGGGCCTGTTAGCCAATCCTGCATCACCAGCTCCCAGCCCCTGCCATGGCTCTGGCCCTATGCTGGGTGTCAGGGAAAGGTCTCAATTTTTCCTGCCCCAGTGAGATTCACAGACCAGAGCAGGCAAAGACAATAAACAAGAAAAGGAGTGTAGAGTTACCAGCAGTGGCAGGTACCATGAAGAAAAATGATGAAATGAGAGAATAGTGGCGTGTGTCAGGAGCTTCTTAGTTGAGGGAACCACACACTCTCAGACACAGACACACACACACACGTATGCACACTCAGTTGAGACCTACATATCGAGCAAGGCTGGCTCCCTGAGTGTTCCAGAAAAAAAGGAATAGAAGGTGCAAAGGCCCTAAGGTAGTACATCAGAAAAAAAAAAAAAACGGGGGAGGGAGGGGCTGGTTGGAGTGACAGTATAGAGGGGAGGGCGTTTGCCTTGCACGTGGCTGACCTGGGTTCCATCCCTGGCATCCCATACAGTCCCCCGAGCACCACGAGGAGTAATTCCTGAGTGCAGAGCCAGGAGTAACCCAAGAACATTGGGTGTGATTCCCAAAAGCCAAAAAATAAAAACAAGAAAACAACTGGGGCTAGAGAGAAAGTATCTGGGGCTGGAGAAATAGTATTGAGGCTAAGGTATATGCCTTGCATGTGGCAAATCCTTGTTTGATCCCTGGCACCACATGGGCCCTTGAAGGGCTGGTGAGAAAGTATAGTGGGTAGGGTGCCTGGCTTGCACAGCTATCTATCCCCAGCACCCCACATGGTCGCCTGGCCTCCTCCAGGAGTGATTCTGAGCACAGAACCAGGAGTAACTCCTGAACACAGTGGGTGTGACCCCCAAACAAACTTTCTCCCCAGAAAAACATCCCCTGATGATCAGCTGGCTAAATATTGCTGGGAGTGACCCCTGGATCACTGTTAGGGAAAAACTGTGGTCCCCTGAGCATCACTGAGTGCAGACGTGGAGCACCACCAGGTATGTCCTGAGGTCCTTGAGAACCACTGGGATGATCCCAGTAACTCCCATTACTGCACAACCCGAGCAGTATTGCATCCTTGAGCCCAGAACTGAACCACTGACCCGACTGGGTGAGAATCACTGAGCGTCCCCAAGCTTCCTGAGCACCACTTAGGAGATCCCCAAAACCATACACATACACAAAAACCCTCAAAACACTAAGGCCTAAGTAGCTCCACCAAGATAAAATCAACAAAACAAAACAAATCTGGGTGAACTGGAGATAACTCAACAGGCTAGAGCACATGCTTTGCCTGCAGAAGGCATGGTTTCAAACCGCGGCATGACCCAATTTTTAAAATAAAAAATAAATAAATGTCTGTGGGATACTATTAAAAACGATGGTTATATTGGCATTCTAAGTGGTCCGAATCTATGCTTTATATGCAGGAACCCCATTCAATCCCTGGCCCACATGGTTTCCTGGGCAACCCCTGAGCAGTGAGCTGTCAGTAGCCCCCCAGAACTGCCAGATGGAACCCCTAAACCAAAACACATACATAAAAAATACTACCAAGATTCACTGACGTCAGTATGATGAAAATCCAAATTCTCCAACCTGTATTCAGTCTTCTATAACCACATCTCCTTTTGTGGAAATAAAATGTCCCATACAAATATAGAAAAAAATGCTGATGCATGCAAGACATTTTTAGAAATTTCTTTAGAACCCCCTTTTTTTATTAATAAATTATGGCGGTGGGGTCAAGTATTTAGTTCAAGGGATGGGGTTATTTTGTTTTTTTTGGAGAGGCCACACCCAGTGGTGCTCAGGGCTTACTCCTGGCTCTGTGCTGAGAAATGAGTCCTGGAGGGGCTCAGGGGTGCCAGGGATCGAGTCAGGTGATACTCATGCCAGGCAAATACCAGTACAAGTACCCACTGTACTGTCCCTCCAGCCTCAGGGGTTAGGTTTTGATCCTTAGCACCACTTGACCTCCTATGCATTGCTATGTGGCCCTGGAGACCCCCAAACACTGACAGGGTGTTGGCCCAGTTGGTCACTGCATGGTCCAAGCAGCACTGCATCCTTGAGCCCTGCTGACCAGCTGGCCAAATACTGCTGGGAGTGACCCCTGGATCACTGCTTGGGAGGCTTCCCAGTAAAAAGATTATGGCGGTATTGTGAGAAAAGATAATGAAGGTAGTAAAGAGATAAGGAGGAAATATGTTTTGTTTTGAATTTTCACTATACATATTTAAAAGTCAATGCATATAAGCATATAAACAGGTTTGCTTTGGGGGCCACATCTAGCAATGCTTTGGAGGTTCATGCATCCCAGGGATCATACCTGGGGTTCTCTCATGCTGTGCTCCAGTTTTTGGATCTCTTACCTAGTCCAAGTACACATATTTTTAAATGAAAGAATGAATTGTGAAGAAATGGGAATGAAGAAGGGAACTTTAATTTTTTTATTTTTTGGTTTGCGGGCCATACCTGGCTGTGTCCAGGGCTTACTCCTGGTCCTGTGCTCTGGGACCACTTATGGCTGGGCTTAGGGAACCATATGTGGTGCTGGATATTGAACCTAGGTTGGCTGCATGGAAGGCAAATGCCTTATCCCTAGTACTAACTCTCCAGCTCCCAATTTCCCTTTTGAAAAATTATTTTCTTCCCTTCTCGACAATGTGTTTATTCTGGATTGAATATGCAAACTATAATTGCTGCTAAACATATAATTTACTATAGAGCTTTGCAAAAATATATTTATCTTATGAAAATGTTTGAATTTGTCTTGTTTTGTTTTTAAGAGACTTTCACTTGTGAAAAGCATATATTTTTCCCAACAATGAAAGATTATCTGCTTAAAATTATTTTATTTTGAAATTTACATCCTGTCTCGCCCGCACGGCAGGGCCTGACAAGCTCCCCGTGAGGTATTCGATATGCCAAACACAGTAACAACAAAGTCTCCAATGGAGACGTTACTGGGCCCGCTCGAGCAAATCGATGATCAACGGGAGGGCCTTTACCTTTACCTTTTACATCCTGTTGCTTTTGAACTTACATGTCAAATCTACCTCTATATAAATCAAGACAAGTGAGTTTTGTGACAGTAATGAAATATCTGTCCACATAATTCATCCCTAATAGTACAATCATATAGCCACATGATCATATGCAAAAAAGAGCCTTTAACAAAATCAACTGAAGAGGCCAGAGAGAGAGAGAAAGAGAGAGAGAGAAAGAGAGAGAGAGAGCAGCAAGGTTAAGACACTTGCCTTGCATACAGCCAAGTCTGGTTCAATCTCCAGTACTGCATATGGTCCCCTGAGCACTGTCAGGAGTGACCTCTGACTCAGTGTTCCTTGAGCACCACTTAGCATAACCACAAAACTCAAAACAAAAATTGTTAGAAATTTTGATTTAAATAAATCTGTCTTCTGAAAATCTTCCTCAAAGATCAGGCTTGCCACTTGATCAAACAGTACCAGCACTAGTCTGTAAAAAGTATTGGAATTCACTCAACAAACATACTTAATCCTAATTGTGGACAAGAAACTCTCCTTTGCTTGTAGAGGTTCCCAAAGCAATGCAAAAAAAAAAAAAAAGATTTTGAACCTATGTTTATAGATGTTGACTATATATCGAACACTTTACATATATTCCCTTATTTACTTTTTTCTCACTGATTTTTCTGTTTTTCCATAACTTTATGAAATAGACTCTCCCTATTTTACCTAGATGTAAAAGGTCACATTGCCTACTTCAGGGTAAAACAAACAAAAAAAAAACAACCAGCGGGGACCAGGGATGTGGCTCAGAGGTTGAACTTGCATACGTGAGGTCCTGGGTTTCATTCCCAACACTGCAAATCCAACAAAAAAGGCCAGTGCTCAAATAAAAAGCTTGGTTAGAAAAAGCCTCTTTTTATTGCTCCATATGGCAGAAGGAGTCCCTTCCAAAACTTAGGGGCCAGAGCTATAGTAAAGAGTGCAGGGCACATACCGTGCACACAGCTGATCAGGGTTTAATCCCTGGTACTCCATATGGTCCCCTGTGCACCACCAGGAGTGATCCCTGAGTGCAAAGCCAGAAGTAAGCTCTGAGCATTTTCAGGTGTTATCGCACTCGCCCCCCAAAAAACAATCTTAGGAGCTTGAGACATAGTACAGGGGTTGAGGTGCTTGCTCAGGTTTCATCTCTGGCACCAGATGGTCCCCTGAGCACTTCCAGGAGTGATTCTTATGCGCACAGCCAGGAGTAAGCCCTGAGCACCACTGGGTGTGGGTCCCAAACCAAAAAAATACCACCAACCTTAGGAGCTAATTTTAGTTTATACCTGTTATTTCCAGCTATTTGTCTTCTTATTTTTTTTTAATATTTGTCTTTGGGACACCTGGATGTTCTCAGGGACCACAAAGGTGCCAGGATTGAACCTAGGCCTCCTGTTGGCGAAGCATTCACTCCAGTCCTTGGGTTCCCTGAAAGAAAATTGGAGCCAAGGAAATAGTTCAAAGAATTTTGAGTGCATGCTTCACCTGTAGGAGTCTCAGGTTCAATTTTTGATACCCCATGGTCTTTTGAGGCCCCTCTCTAACACCATTACCAAACTGGAAATAGCCCCTGAGCAGTGCCAGGTGAGT